CCTATCACCTATCAACTTAACAACGATTATTTTCAAAACTGTTTATAGTATTTTAGTTGCCACTCTATATACACACCATGCATTTAGTTTTACAAATGAAAAATTTTGTTATATCCTTTTTTCTTTTTATTTGTTCTTTCTACTTAATTAGCTTTATACAGTTTAGTGTCTTTTTTTTTTAGGAATTTTGCTTGTGCCTGACTATAATTGCCTGCCTTTATGTTGCATTACCTTCACAACTAGTCTTAATATATCTGAAGTTATCAGAAATATTTATAATACTAATGCATCCATAGTGATTTTTTAATGACAATTCTTAGCAATTCTGTCCTTCTAGCTAGTACTTACTGGTGCTTAGGATGTTGGTTAAGATATATGCACAGCAGCTAGACTCATGACAGGTTGATGGAGTTTTCCCGAACTGGTAAGGAAGTGGGTGGTCCAGGTGAAAAAGCACTGGGAGAGTTGGGCGCAGAGAGTATTCTAACAGATGACTGAATCACAGTCTCTAACAAAAGAGAGTGGGTAGGATTTAAAGATAAGAAACAGAATTCTCCCTCCCTCATTGTGGGAAGCTAGCTGGCCGAGTCAGCCAAAGATGGCGCCTTGGCTGACTGCCAAGCCTCGTGACCCTCGCTAGTTTACTCCAACTCTTGGCTGGTTGCCAAGCCTCCTGACCCTCGCTTGTTTACTCCAACTCCTGCAAGCAAGCCGGAGGAGCCCATCATGTGCTGCCTGCCTGATCAGAGACATCATCAAGCATGACCCTGCTACGTGGCCCAATGAGCTGCCACTCTGCCTGCCTGCTGCGTGTGTGTGTGTGTGTGTGTGTGTGTGTGTGCCCTGATTGGTCCTGGCTGGGAGGAGGGCTGTTGGGAACAAACTATATAAGGACTGAAGTGCGTAATAAAGAAGAAGCCTGAACCTCACCTTGGTGTCTGTGCTGTCTTTCCTCGGCTCTGCTGGACGGAGTCGTGGCTTGCGGCACCTCATACTTGAAACAGTTTCTTCAAACATATTACCATGAAGAGAAGAGGTCATTCCTGACTGCTGGTGCAGTTGTCATCTTTTGCCTCTGGTCTTCTCAGCAGCCATCTAGAAGGACAGCGTGACCAGAGAGGTGGTTTAGAAAGGCCCTATGGCAACAGCATGGCAAATGGCAGTGCAGGGTATTAAGTACGGGGTATGAATTATAAGAGTAGATGAGGAATCTAGGCAGAGAAATTGAGAACAGACATTTGAGTGGTATTTAGGATGTTAAAAGTTCAGGACCTGATGCCTGACTAGATGTGACTAAACAGAGGAGCTAGAAGAGTTGTATCCTGAATCAAGGTAAAAAGCCAAAGACTTTGCCCTTGATTATTGAAGTAGCAAGATGTAATTTTTGACCAAATAGATCTGTAGTGATGTAAGAGGCACAGGAGATAGATGGGAGCTGGATTGTGGCTTTGGGACTCACTAAGATATGTTATTATCTGAAGCTCAAAGTACATGAAGTAGCTGTGAAATTACAGAATGGGCTGATGGCAGGGTCATGGAAGATAGCATATTCTGGAAGGTCTGTGGAGACATGGAAGAAATAAGTGAGGAAAGAGTATTATCAGTTTGAAATATGCAAAGGGCCTACGGATCATAATGCTTGAGAAGACTCCCATTGACTTTCTCACAGAAGTCAAAGGTGAACTGTGCATTAGCAGTTCTTAGTGTTGGGTAGGGCCAAGGAAAGGCACAAAATTTCACATTACTTTAGGAATAATTGAATATTGAATTAAAATTACCCAATTGACTAAATTTTTTGAATAACTGTAGAAAAAGTAATTGTAGGAAAAGTAAAGACAAAAGGAATTGGGGATATTAATTAAAAAGGACTTTTTAAGTAATTTTTTGGTATAGTATGAGATATTTGTATAATGTCCAGAGACAAACCAGTAGCAGAATGGGTATTTAATGAACCAAGAAAGGACTGAGAGAAGACAATACATCACAGCGATTTCTAGAGTGTGGTATTGGAAAACCATCTTAAATGTTGAGAAGATTCTCTGAGACAGGTAAGAAAGGGCTATGTAGGTCTACTTGAAAATTAAA